ACAGTTTATATTAAATATAAACACATCTTCAGAATAACACTAAGTGTTCATACCAACTGATCGCCGAGCTGCATACGCTATTTCATCACCATTGCTGATTCTTCTCCGGAGTTCATATATTTTATTTTTACATCATGTACTAACTGGTTTGGACTGCTCATCGCATGAGCTTCATCGTCAGCTACGCTGGGGCTCGCCAACTATGCTGGAGACTCCTCGGTGTTCGGATTCTTCGTGCAAGCGTCTCCAGCTATGCTGGGGACTCTCTTGGTGGTCGGATCTTGCTACGTCTCATCGGTGTGCTATCAAGTTGCTCCATGCTATTCGGATCAGGATGCTGATCTTAGGCAGCATATCCGGGGTCTTATGAAGTACATGGCTAATGACGTTGGCAAGCTTTCAATAAAAATTCCTTAACCCTGCTACAAGATATCTTCAAAATCTTCCAGCAGGCTCGGGGACTACGTGTATACACGTGATCTCACGATGACTGTATTTTTTTACACTGGTTTCCAGTGACATTGGGGATGGGCCAGCACCTAAAGACTACTACTTTGGATTCTGGCACCACGTGACTATTTCACCTACTGTCATGCTCGAAGACTAAGTGAACACACTTCACCTCGCAGTAAATGTGCTTATTTTTTCGACTTAATCTTCTACGAAGTGACTAAGTTCCTCCACGCAGGTCAAGAGATGCTGCTTTCGAGAAACGTCCGTCTTCACTGCGCTACGCTGCCACGAAATTATGCATATGCTTATTTGATGACTTTTTGAAATTATGCATATGCTTATTTGATGACTTTTTCTATCGGCTGTTCAGTCCGTATATTATTCAGCAATTGTACGCTCAGGTTGGTATGGGAAATCGACTTTGTTAATTGAACAACTGTGAATGTTTGGCAATAAAACAACTATTTGTTAATGAAACTAGCTAATCCATCTAAACTTGTAGCTGAGCACAAAAAGGAGAACTTTTTTCTTCTTGCTTCAATAGTTCATGTTCTCGAGATATCAATGCCATCTTTAGAAGATCAAAACCAAGTTCAAGTGAGGATCTAGAGCTGATGAATACTGAATAAATGGAGCTGAACATATAGGCGCCCAATTTTCAAGTCATCCACGATGTCTGAAATCCAAACTCGCAGGACAGACCTCATTTTTTTTACAACACATTATACAGTATCATTGTATCCCGTTGCGTGGTCACATCTATTTATCACTTTGTTTCCTTCACCAGTTGCACTGGGTCGCATGGAAGCATAGGGGAATAATATAATATACTGGTTGTTACAAGGAACCAGCAGAACATGAAGCTATAAGTACTGAAACTGAAGAAAACCAACACCAGAAACTGGAACAGCATCCTATTTCTACATCCATGGTCAGGCGTCGACACGAAGGCAGAAGGATCCACATCGACTGCAAAAGAAGGTGAAACGCCTTGATGAATTTCTCGTCTGTGCAATATCGCAGCTGACCGATTTGCTGATCCCAAACTATTGTGGCTGATTTGCAGGTGAAACAAAAGCTTGAATTCAACGCGAAAGATCACTAGTTTTGCCGCTACTTTTTCTTTTTGTGAACACTACACTTCTTTGAGAAAATTGCCATTGTTACCTGCTTGTACTGGTTTCTATAGAAACACCAAAAACAAACATTGCTCAGTTAGTTGAAATGACAGTTATACAACTACACAAGGGATGCACACGGCACACCTCCTCCTATCGACGGCTGCCGCGAGGATGGTTAGGATCTCAGGATCCGGCCCACGGAGGGTCGTAGGTCCATGGGCCGACACCGCGGAGCACGGGACATGGGCTGCCGTCGATCCCTTATTAGGGCTCACTGGCGCATGTGCATTGAAATGAGTATATAGTAAGGAAAAATCCATTTAACCTCTCCAACTTTCACCAAAAACTCGATTCACCTCCTTAATCGGGAAAGCTGATTTTTTTGTCCATCTTTTAAAACCATCTGGTTTTTCTCGCTTCGGCGGTGGCTTTAGTTGATGTGTTCATGTTAGCTATGATGGAGTGTTTAGCTAGTTTGGGAGGTCAAATAGACTTTATTATTAAATAAATACAAAACAAAATTTCAAAAACTAATATCCAAGCATTCTTTTTTGATGTAATGAAAAATGTCAAAAAAATATATGAGGTGGCTACACGATACTTATCTTGTCACAGAAAGCACCTGAACTCCTACGGGTCTATATCGCCAATGCAGACTAACTACACAATAGACGATAAGAACATATACTTAGTAAATAAACAGAAAAAACGATACTAGGTCTAGGTTTCCCCCTTAAACTATAAACCGGCTAAATTGCTTCCTCCCTGAGTCTCAAAACCATTTCATTTACCTCCCTACACATGCATGTTAAGGTGGTTTCCATGCACGGCAGTTTCATCCTTTTTAATTACAAGAATTCGGTAAAACCCCGGTATGGTTTTTATAAACAAAAAATACATTTAAGCTTCTACAAATTGCAAAAAAAAGGATCTAGATTGGGACCCAAAAAACCCATATAAAATATTTAGAGCTCATAAAAAATATGTCCAGAAGCTTTTAAAAAAAGTGGGTTTTAGCTCTAGAGAAATGTACATAAATATCTGGAAAATCACCAAGGCATTATATTGATGTCTAATTAAACGTGTTTCAAAAAATTTACTCCACAAAAAATACAAGATCGAACCATCACGCATGAAACATACGGTTAACGTTTTGAATACACATTAAAGTTAACGATTTTGTTCGGTGTGTTGGATGAAACAACATACATGTACCAAAATTTGAGTATATTGTTATACTTTGGGCTCGTTCGGCTGCTCAGGAAACCAGCCGGAAAACACTATTCACGGCTGAAAACATTGTTCACTCTCTCACAAATTCCTCCCAGCGAACAGGGCCTTTGTCTTCTTAGTATTTGTATATACAATTAACGAATTGAACCCAACCCTTCATGTAGAAAAGGTATTATCTTCCAGGGTGTAACACAATTGTATAGGATGATATATACTACTTCATCTATTCCAAATTATAAAACGTTTTGACATTTATAGATTACTACTTCATCTATTCCAAATTATAAAACGTTTTGACATTTATAGATTCATAGCTTTTACTATGTATTTGCATAATATATATCTAGGTGCATAGTAAAAGTTATGAATCTAAAAAAGCCAAAACGTCTTATAATTTAGAACGGAGGGAGTACACAAGCTACTAGTACAAAAGGCTGTGCGTGCAAAATTCCGTATGATTTAACGTTGCCGCTGCATGCTCGCTCGCTCTTAAAAGGTAATTTTTGTTACGGTTGTTTTGAGAAGGAGATGCTAGAGGTTGAGGTTGAACTTTTATCACCCGCTCTGAAACTTCGTCCTAGATCCGTGGCTGTCAATTAAAGTCGTAGCTCTCAATCGATAGATAGATGCGGGTCTCGTTGAGGAGCTCGTGAGTCACGCTTGACCAGCTATAATCGTACCTAGGTCGCTCGCTCAAGCTAGGTAGGTAGCTGTCGTACGTTGTTGGTAGGTAGGCTGTCTCCATCTCGGATTCATCGGGTTTGTTTTGTATTGATTATTAAGTCAGAACATTATTAATTTGTCTGATCGATTAATCAGATTAATTAATTTATAAACACCTCGGATTCAGCTCTTTTAGTGACAACTAACGTTTCTGATCTCATTGGTATGTTCTGCTGTATGTTTCTCTAGCAAGACCAAAAAAAAAAGGGAGTCATGCATGCATGTGTGATGCGTGCCAAATTAACGCCAACTCACCTAAATTACCCATGAGCTTAGCTTAGCTTAGCTTGTTCTGGTTGCCAGCAACTAATAACGCAGCCGCAGTGTGTGTGTATATATATATATATATAAAGAAAATGACGTTGCTGCGAACCTCATGTCATTCAGTCATTCACTACTCCTAGTAGTACGTGTGGCCCTTCATTCATGGGCACTACACACACTGACACAGTGACACCGCTACCGATTGTCCACTAGCAGACAATATTTGCCCTCGTCAACTCGGAAGTCGTCTCGTCCCGTCTCTACGGATCGGAGAGGGGACGGCGGACGGGCGACCGGAAGAATGAAACAAAGAAGCAGACAGCCAGCGGCAGATTAATACTAATCACTGCAACAATTAAGAACGAAGCCAACACGTACACAAGCACCGCTGGTGTACGACACGTACGTGTGGACTAGACTTTTGGCGATTCGGGTGTTCAACAATTCGACTCCGCGGCTGCTCCGATGGATACATACATACTGTACGTAGATAGAGACTCCTTGTACGATCCTATGTTGCTTGCTAGCTTGGTCGTCTAGCTCACCGTGGGCCCACCGTTTTATTCAACTCGCCGATTACTGTATTATTCAATCTTGGCACCGTACATACATATACTTATGTCATATACAGTATATATAATAACCCATCCCTCCCTTTCACTCACTGTTGCTTGGCTATGTGCTATATATGCCATTCAATTATGGCGTTTAAAAATTTAATGAACGCATGGCATCAGTAGAAAATACATGCGCTAGCTGCATCTACTTCCTCTGTCCCTGATTAATAAATTAATTCTTAAACTTTGGTTAAGTCAAGTTTGTTTTAAGCTTGGCTGAATTTATAGAAAAGAGGGCAAAGATTTTTAGCAAAATACGTCCGTGCGTTGCAACGGGTGAAAAAAGAACTATCAAACGTTAATGCGAGATAATTACGAGAATGCCTGATATACCGCACGGCTCGCGCGGCTGACATACCATGGTCCCAAATACACCCTATATGTACTCATCATGAATTCAAAATTAATTATCGTTGAAGACATGTATGATTCGGGTCGGTTGCTGCGAAGTTGTGAACATGGGAAATAAACTAAAATGGAAGTCTCTTTGTCATATATATGCAACGGCGTCTCAATAAGTATATATTCACACACATATTTTCCATTCCATGTGACATCCTCACACTCACTCAAAACGGTGTGGACACACATGTATGGCAGTAGTGATCGATGCCGTGCTCTAATTTGTGGACTTTTCCCTTTCAAAAAGAGAAATTGTGGACTTTGTGGCTTGCAACAGCCAACAGGCAACATCCCCCCTGCGCAGCTGCGCTGAAGGAACAAATGAGTAACCTAGCTATAGATGTGATGTGGATATCCAGCGACCCGGGTCCTGAGATGATCGACAATGAATGCGCGATGATGTCAATAAAAACTAAGCCCGTGTTTATTTGGGGGAAAGTTGGAATTTAGCTACGGTAGCACTTTCGTTTTTATTTAGCAATTAGTGTTCAATCATGAATTAATTAGGCTTAAAACGTTCGTCTCGCGATTTTCAACAAAACTGTGCAATTAGTTTTTTTTCGTCTACATTTAATGTTCCATGCACGTATCGCAAGATTTGATATGATGGCTACTGTAGCACTTTTTGGGAAAAGTTTTTGAAACTAAACACACGCTAAAGGTTGTATTGTACTACCCCTAAAGAAACAAACAGTAGTACAGCTAGCTAATCAGGCATACGTCATGGTGCTGACATCACTAGTGTGCACGCAATTCAGGACCGCGTATGCATGTGTCAAACAAATAAGCGTACGTCCTGGCCCATGCCATGACAGGTACGGCACAAATTAGGGTCGGCACATCTCAGCTTCATCGGTGAATGAGTTTTTATTGGCAATCTGTGCATGCTTTACCGGTACAGTTGGAGCTGTTTTGGTGTCTTGTTTGATAAAATGAAACTTTCTCATAGTAGGAAAAAACTAAAACGACAATAATGCCCTTCCCTTTATTTATTTTTTTTATTTTTCTTCACACCTTATATTCTCTTTCCTTTTCTCTCTCTTTCCTTTTCTCCTCCTTATCCTCCCGTGCTCGCTTCACGTGCCATGCCACCCCGCACCAAACACGCTCCATGGCCCTAGACTCCATGGGCCTCGGCGACCCCACTCTCTGGCCTCTACCTAGCTCGTGCGCCCGGTGACTTCTCACGGCGCTCCGACGGTCGTCGTCGTCGTCACGCTTTGATGACCCATGTCCCGAGATGGCCCACACACTCCGATGACCTGCGCCATCACGCTCACGGTGGTCCATGGCCTTGGCGACCAGCGCCCGCACCATCACCAAATGGGGCAAAGCTGGACATTGTCGCGATGGGACCCACCAAAGGCAAAGGAAGCGAGGGAAGTGAGGTTTTTCGCTTCATTATCTCTCTCCGCTCTCTCAGCGCAAAAAACAGGGACTTTATTTGGTGGTGAAGCTGAGCGGTGTGGGAGCCTTTGGCATATGTGCTTGGCGTGAATCTGTTCGTGTGAAGCGGCCGGTGAAGCCATGTGAAACGGGCCCGTAAAAGGACAGTCGAGGTCCACCGCCCACTTGCTCTTCATCACAAAGGAAAAGTCTTTATTTAATAGTATGCATATATTTGTTTAGAAGATCAATTATTGCAAAATAGTTAGTTTTCAGGATGTGTATAAATAATTAAACTATATACTTTAGAGGCAGATTTCTTGCACAACTCCTAATAAAAATACCTTATATTAACTAGCTTTACACGTGTCATTATCATGGGGGTTTGTTTAGCAGAGCTCCCAAAGTAACTTACAAGTTAAATTCAGAGAAAACTTTCTTGAGCAGTATTTTATAGAGAAGCGATTATATGCTAGTTATGTGAAAAGATTTGTAAATAAACAAGAAAGCTAGGGGATAAAAAAACTGTATATATTCTCCTTACGTAATTACTTTGTACACCGAGTTTATTCAAGAAAATCATAAAAACCACTTTCAGCCAGGGAGGATGCAGCTTGAGATGCAAGACGGGGCTCGATTCTTCCTCTTCCCACTTGTCCTCCTTCTTCCCTTTCTTTCTTTCTACTTCCTATTCTTCTTCCTTCTACCTGATCACGCTAATAAAAGATTTTTTACAGTTTTGAAGTTTTGACAGGGTGATGGTTATATGCCGATGGATGTGAGGATGTCGGTAGAAAGAGGTTGGTATTTTATAATCTTATTTCTGGTGTTAGGTCTCTTTTGCTAATGTGGAAGGTGCGCCTTGAATACGGGGATGTATACGGCATATAATTTGTGTCATTGATATAAAAGCGGGCCGGGGGAACATTCTCTCTAAAAAAAATTTCTCCAAATTTGCGCAAAATGGCATGAATAATTTGCTAGGTGGTTAATCGTTAATTGGTAAACCTCATGGAGTACAATGGTAACAAGTGTTCTGCATGCATTGCATGGACAGCTACCTCTAATTCCATCACCCCCACTTAGCTCTAATAATACTACATAGTCTTGTCTCTGTAATTAAGCGACTCCATTAGCCCCACTTACCTCTGATTCCAGTCATATGCATGGTCATGTTATCTTTAAGCCCTTTGGAACAAATAATTGTCGGAGGAATTTTGTGGGGCATTAGGTTTGTTGTTGTAATTTTTCCTATGTGTTCCCTTGGAACAAAGAATCGGATACATGCTAGAATCCAACAAAATTCCTATTTAATTTAGCACATCAATCCATATATAGAAGTTTTCGAGTAAACTAATAATTAACATGAGGTCCAATCTCTTGGAAACTCTTTATGAAGTTGAGAATAAACAAAACACTGCATGTCATCGTCACAAAGAAGAGACGAGAAATAGAGTTAAAGAAAATGGACTTTACTAGCGTCCGTGTGTGCAGGCGTGCATAACTCCGCCAGCTCACCTTCCTTCTCGCGACCCCTTCCTCCCCCACCCCCGCCTCCTCCGCCGCCGCCCCCGGCCAGCAGTTGCCTCGCCGCTGGCCGCACCCCGCCCACCTCCTCGCCACTCATGTACAGGTTTGGACGCCCACTGTCCGAGTCGACCTCCTTCTTCTCCGCCATGGCCATGGGCACCCCCGTCCCAACCTAGACCGGCCACCTCCTACACCGCCGGAACTCTAACCGTGGCCCTCCCACCATCCCACCGCCTAGCCGGCCTACTACCTCTCCCAAGCCCCTTCTAAGCCCGTTGGAGTTGAGGAAGAAGGGACAGAGAGAGATGGAGCACCACATGTCACCATCTGTGGTAGGGTTGGGGGTGGTGCGGTCGGGCGCAGGCACGGACGCGCAGGGGTGGTGCAGGCGTCGCGTACCTACGCATCTGATGGCAACGGTGCGCACATGGGACGGCCCACACGGTGTGCGTGCCGCACGAGCGCCCCTTAGTAAAGAAGCATTCCCGAAACAAAATTGAAGTAGTAGTACGTACTAGTACCTTGTGTATATGCAAGTACGGACCTCGTGCAACACGTACAGACATATACATACAGAAACTAGAGGGAAGCCAGCGCTTCGCGCAGGAAGGGGAAAAGAGGAGGTATGCACCATGAAAAAAAAGAAGGAAGAGGAAAAAAAAAAAGGCGAAACAGTAATGGGCGAAAATAAAGAAAGACGAAACAGTAACGGGTGGCGTTGCTACAATAACGGGCGGGGTACAGTAACGAGTTTTTGAAGGTATTGATGAACAGTGATCCTCGCCGGGTTACAGGCCAGCTTGCACACATCCGGCGATCGCGGGCCTACACGCGGAAAGTTTATTTTCGGAGCCGATCCATACCGGCAAAAAGGCCACGTGTGCATACGCGTGTGGGGGACCATGAATCCATGATGCATCATGCATATACGTCTGCTCTTTATAAACAAGCAAGTCAGAGCTGCGAGCTGAGAAACTAAACATATCAGCAGCAGCAGGAGTCGGAGCTCCTGGCATCTGGCGAGCGATGGCGGCGGCGCTAGCAGGGCGGGAGGAGGAGCTCCTGGCGCAGCTCCGCGCGCTACTGTTCTTACCTGCTGCTGCTTCACCGGCGCCGCCCTGGACACCAGTGCCTCCGGCGGTTAAGGCGGAGTCCGCCGCCGGACTACCGCTAGCTGCCATCGTGGCCCGTACTACTACTGGCGGCGGACGCGGATCCGGACCTGCTGCTGCTGCGTCATCGGCTACGGCCGCCTCCGCCGACGCGTCGTCGTGCGGCGGCGCCGGACGACGGCGCCGACAGGGTCAGGGGAGCAAGAGAGACCGGGACGACGACAGCAGCGACGCCAAGGACGACGAACAGCACGATGAGGCGCCTGCTGCAGCTGATGCACGGACTCAGCATTATCCTCCTCCTCGCTGCAAAAGAAGGTGCGTACGTGGTCCATGGCTCCAGCAGTACAGCTCCAGCTCCTCCGATCCGCGTCCCTCATCACGCCACGCTGCACGAATGGATCCCCGGCCCCGCCCCCCTGCCCTGATGATTTTGATGACTCGACTCTTCCATCTGCAGGAAGAAGAAGCAACAGAGCAAGTCGATTGTGACGTCAGTGCCCGATTTCGATGGGTACCGGTGGAGGAAGTACGGGCAGAAGCAGATTGAAGGTGCCATGTACCCCAGGTAATTATTTTAATACTCTATTATTAATATTATTTTAGTACTATATATTATTTTAATACTCTAGTATCAGTTGCCAGATCCCTATGATTCAATTACGGAGTAGGAGTACTACTCAGTATCAGTACCCTTTGCTGCTGTCCCTTCCATCAGTTTGGGTCGGGTCCCCTGCTAGTGATAGCTAAGGTCCTGTTTAGATTCGAAAAATTTTCACCTTAAAGTATCACATCGAATCTTACGGCATATGCATGGAGTACTAAATGTAGACGAAAAAAAAACTAATCGCACAGTTGGGTAAGAAATCGCGAGACGAAACTTTCGAACCTAATTAATCCATAATTAGACACTAATTAATAAATACAAACGAAAGTGGTACAATAGCCGAACAGTACCCAACCCCAGAAAATTTTGGGAACTAAACGCGCCCTAACCAAATATGACTGTCGTGACACACGTTGTGCCTTGTCGCATGCAATGCAGTCAAGCACACCATTGACCGATCGATCGAGACAGTTTTATGCTTGCAAATAAAAAGCTGCATTTTTTTACAGAATTATAAGCTGATTATTACTGCCTCCAAATCTTCACAGTATTGTTTTGCTATAACAAAAAAGGGAGTGTCTAGTTATGTGTTGAATTTGTCAGATTCTTTATATATGCGATCCAGTAGACAGTTGTAGCACAAATCCTAAAGCACAAAATCAAAGTATAGAAATCTAACAAATTTAGTACCCAAAAATCTTTTGACAGATAAATAGCAAAAGTCAAAAAAAAAACTTTCAGTGCACTGAGTTACTTGGCGCCCATTATATATCTCTTATCCATGCAGGAGTTACTACAGGTGCACACGGAGCGCCGAGCAAGGCTGCCCGGCCAAGCGGACGGTGCAGCGCAACGACGACGGCGGTGACGCCGCCACCACCACCCCAGAGTACACGGTGGTGTATGTGGCGGAGCACACCTGCACGGCCAACGACTCGCTGGAGGCGCCGGTCATCCTCGAGACATCGACCACCATCGTCGTCCCTGCTGCTACTGCTGCCAGCACCACCACCACCAAGGGACGACGACCTCAAGATGACGACAGTACCTACACTGATAGCATCGTTCCGACTACGCCATCTGGCTCTTGTTCTACTACCACCACCATCACCACCGGCACTGAATCTCCGGTGATCTCCGGCGACGACGTCACCTGCTGGAGCAGCAGCGATTATAACTACGCCGACGACTACTACTGCGGCGGGTTGTTCGCCGACACCCATAGGGGTGGCTGGGCCACCGGACCGGCGGACTCGGCGTCGTTGGAGGAGATGGAGGACTTGACCGGACCGATCCGGTCACCGGTGCACGTTCCCGTGCCTGGTTGGACCATTGACCAGCTCGTCCTGCAGCTCGTTAATGAGCCTGTCTGCCATTTCTAATCTTTGGTTTGTCTTCGTAGCTTAGTAGTACTAGCTTGGTGTTGGTTGATGGATGTACAGTTTGACTGTATAGCGGCTATACTCAACTTGATAGCTAGCCCCCTTATACTGTTATTATAGAGGCCTTTTACAGGGTGATATTATTTAATTATTACCATAGCATTAACACATAAAAATGATATGAAAATAACTTAACAAAATATTGCGAGCTGGTTTAGTTCCTTGTGGTTGAAATCACTCACCTAGAGTTTGAGTCCTAGACTCAAGACGTGTGTTCAGACTGAACAGGATCAAATTAAT